GTGAGGGTGAGGGTAGTTGGATCCGGTGCTCCGCCGGTGAGCCCATCCCTCGGTCACCTCCTCTTCCACCGCCGCATGTCGGAGGAGGTGAGGGGATCTTTCCTCGACAAGTCGGAGGTCGCCGACCGAACCGTCACCGTCGTCAAGAACTTCCAGAAGGTCGATCCGTCCAAGGTATAAATTAACAAAATACCAAGTTCTTGATCTTTTTTATCTTTAAAAATTAGGGTTTCGTTTCTTGTCTAGTGTTACTGCGCATATCTGTAATTTTTCTCTAATTTAGGTTATAAGAGCTGAAAAGGGCTCGGTAGAAGCTGGAAATTTTGAATCCGTGGGCCTTGTAGTCCGCAAGAATAGTCTGCAGCACTCTTGCTTGCAATTGGAAAGCTGAATCGGATCTCAAACATTTCTCAGAGACCTCGAACAAATATCGCCTGTAAAAGCTAGTTGTTAGAGGGAGAAAACCCAAATCACTTATAAATCGACTATTGACTTCTCGTTGGTCAATGTAGGACTAAATAGACCATATCATACCACCATGCTTTACAATGCTGATATCCACACAACCCTTTTTCTTTGCACTAGTATAATCTTAGTTGAACATTTGCATTTCCGATCCCCCCACCCCCCGGCCTTGCACTATACTAGTCATGGATGAACATTACAATCTCAGAACCACCACCCTCGCCAGTCGCCACTCTCTCTTGCAACTGGGAAGATGGGTTGGCTTTGAACGTTCATAAGAGCCTTAGAAGAAGAAGAAATCACTCTTAAAATCTAGATTGTAGAGGGAGGGAACCCAAATCTCTTGTGAACGCATATTGATTCCCCATTTAATCCCACATTGACAAATGGACCCTAACAATTTTGCAAGTGGAAGCTTTTTATTTTTATCATTTATCATTTTCCGAGGATGTTGGTTTAACATGTTGTTAAGTAGAGGCTAAACGAAAAACACTATTTTGTCTATCATTATCATTCAAACTAGGTGTTGAGGATCAATTTCAAAAGTAGACCCTAGTGACTAGATATTGAATGATTGATGAACTTATTTTGTTTTATAATGCAGTGGCTAGCTGATCAGTAGGGTTGGTTAACAGATGCCGTGTTTCGTAATCTCTGATGGGTTATGGTTCTAGGTCTATAACTTAGAGATTTGACTCTGGACCATGACCTTCCTGACATCTTGAATTTTAAGATACATCCTTTCGTCCTTGAATTGATGCTAATGAACATTTTCCCCAGTTGTTCCTAGTATTTCTCTTTTCAAATTCATAGTTACTGTTCTCTGAGTGTGATCATGTAAAGGCATTTAAGCATGCTGGGATGTCATTTCCAAAACATCCTCATTTCCTTATCGAGAACTTCGGGTAAAACATAGCCATAATCGTAGTTACCAGTGCAAATAGGTATGTGTTTCGCCTGGCAGATAAAGAAAAATATCAAAACCAGATAGTCTTGATGTAAACTGAAAGAGAAGGGAAAAAATTCTATAAAACAAATTTTTAAGTTTGTGTTGCACACTTTGGCTATCTAAATAATGCCTACATAGATCTCCTAACTAGAAACGTTATGGTAAGTGGACACCGGAGATGTTAGGAGCCAAGATTTGAAGTATCAGTTAATACCAATATGCGTTGGTTGTATCATAGCAGATCATAAGTGTGTTGATCTGATCTAGTCAATATTGATGGATACTATCGATATTGGTTAATAACAACTAATATGAGTTGATATTGACTAATAATAGCCAATACAGGAAGGTAAGAAGCGGAAAATTATCTACTGTTGTACTAGATGGGAAAAATCAATAAAGGAAATTTGTGAATCACCAAACTTTCTGAAACTGTTAATGCCCGACATGCCATGCTTCACTGAAAACATTAGAGCTCCCCAAACACCTGAAAATATCACTATAAATTATTGGCTGATACAATTACCAGTATCAAGATTCCAAATCTTGGTAGGAACACACATCATAAATATAAACAGAAGCACCAGGAAGAGAGCTTGATCCCTCAAAAGAGTCAAAGGAGTAAGGAGGAAATTTTAGATTGTCGACTGAGTAAATAAAAACACTTCTATTTTGTCGCAAATCTTTGAGTTCTGCTACTTGAATTCATCTTCGCAATTCAGCTGTGTTAAAGTCCAATCTCCACTATTAATTAGTAACAAATATGCCTGCTCATTATCTGCAAAACCTTTTTTTTTTGGTTAATCAACTCCTAGGCAAAGTATATGACAATTCTATTTCTCATTTGCATATGATGATCCCAGGTGAAATGTAATACAACCCTCATAATGGCGTAAACTTTAATTTTAAATATTATTCGTGCTGAGTTTTGATATTTACTATAAAGCTATATAGGACACCGTTTTCCCTGGGAAATTTCCTATGAACTTTTTGTGATTATAGGATTGGCAACATTCTTGTAGTTGAGAAATTTGAGGTGCATAACTATGACATACTATACCTATGATTTTCTCTGATTAAGATAGTATAAATAAATAAATACGCGGTAAACTGGAAACTTAACATCAATGCTTATTTTGCTATGATCCCTTTGGTAAAAGGTATCTTCTCATGGTATTGCTTTTCATCTAGGTGTGCTTTTTATTTCATTCTACACAAATATTTAGTTTTAAAAATAAATACCTTCATATCATATATGCCTTATTATAACGTGGTAGGCTATGGGGCACTCCCATGAGCAAAGAAGGATTCATTTCATGAGGTTTTGATATTTACTAGCAACTTGGTGCATTGTTGTGGTTCCAACTCTTTGTAATTGATCGCAGATTATTCGAAGTAGGGGGATTGGCGGGTAGTGAAGCTACATTTTTAATTTTGCAGTTTAAGGGAAATTATTCTAGAGTGAGGAAAGATGGCATTTGCCATAGGAACAAGAAGCATGTCTTGCTTTCTTAAGCGTACTATAAGCTGAAGAACCAAACAAATTACGTTAAATTGCAGATAACCCCCTCATCTAATCTAAACCTTCACTTGCACTTATCACTCATCAACCATTTTATCACTTAACACCCCTGTATTCACATTTTCAGATGGATAAATTGCAGATAACCCCCATAGCCTCATGAATCCAGGAGTATGAAGTGCTACTAAAATAGTGGAGGGGATGATAAGTGCAACTTATCCAGTGAAGTATAAAATCTAATGACTGCTTTGTTGTACTGGCGATTCATCTTTTTGACATATTGCGTCTTTGTGCAACTTCCAGTAATATCAGATTGTGACATACGAAAGCACATGAAAGATGCTCAATTTTTAGTCACCAGGCTGATATATTTTGTTATGGGCTCTAATTGCAAATACTTATTTATTACTGAAATTTTCTTTATGTCTGAGTGCAGGTGACACCAACTGCTCATTTCCAAAATGATCTCGGTCTAGACAGTTTGGATACTGTAGAGATCGTTATGGCCTTGGAAGAAGAATTTGGATTTGAGATTCCTGATAATGAAGCAGACAAGATCACCTCCATTGATCTTGCTGTAGACTTCATTGCTTCTCATCCCCAAGCGAAGTGAATAAACGAACCATATGAAACAATCCTAAGCTTTTAAAATTTATTTTTATCATTGAAAAAAGACAAGTCTTAAAAGATTACTTTAAGTACTATTTCTGGCATTGTAGCTGCATTATTTTGTACCCCATAAATTTTTTATGTGAACATGTGAGAATTGATTGAGATGATGTTGCAGCCAATGTGCTTTGCTAAATAAGCCAACTTATCAGTATCTATTTCAATCTCTTTCTTCTTTCTTTTTTTGACCCCTGCAAAATCTCTTTGCATTTTTTAGTTTGCAAAATAGCGATATCATCTATTTCTTCCTCCTATTTCTACTGTGGTTTATAGTATTGTTGATTGAATGCCTGATTCTGTTTTGCTGTTTGAAGATGGGGACTTTAGATACTCAAATCATGCGAAAGGAGACATGTTTTATTGCGCAAAATGTGCAAATGTCATGTGGGTACATATATTCTTTTTACCTTTTGGCAATGACTGATGAGAAACTTTGCGTTTATTTTAATAAAGCTGAAACTACCAAAATTAACAATATTTTATAACCAAGGCATTCGTATAGATTATCCAGTAGAAAAGTACCCATGCTACATTAACAAAACATTAAAAAAAACAAATGCAATTATAATACAGGTTTCTGACATGATATAATATTTAGAAAACATCGGCAAAAAAGTACTCGTATAATTCCATATTATCCATGTACGTATCAGATTTAACAAACCAGCTGAATAATAAATCTAATTATCCAAGAATGAAGTATTGGGATAGTGGATACAGCTTGAGCATGCATATCTCTGGAGACAATATCGCCAATGCATCAATCACTTGAACTTTCCATAATTCATAAACCAGAGTTCTTAACCTCTAACCTTAAAGATGCCTACAACAAAGTCTGACCAGCATTGGAATTGTGTTCTTAGCTGACTGATGATTCAAACAATTGTACAAGAGGCTATTAGAATTACCTTAATCATCATTATACGTGTAAAAGAGCAATCTATAACAAAATAAATGCAAACAAAGAGAAGCAAGCTCCATTGTTTACAAGGGAAAATAGCCGGCCATCAAAGTTGAGAGGAAAACATTTACATTCACTAAAAACCTTACGGCTGCGTTTGGGAACTTGGATTTGGATTTGAAAGGTTGATTTAAAATCATGGGATTTCAAATCTAGAATTTGAAATCCATGATTTGATAAAATCTTTTATTTGGATGTCATCACTAAATGCAAGGATTTGAAATCACAGATTTAAAATCTGATGTTTGGATGCACTTTATTATATATGAATTTGGATTTGAAATTGTTGTTTTAAAAAAGTTTTATGCTCTCTCTTAACTCCTTAATAATTAAATCAAATGCGGACATTATGGTTTATATTGAGGAAAAAGTTAGGGTAAATTTCACGACCCCCTCAGAAGTTTGATCTCTTTATTAGCGATTATAAATACACATGCAAACATCTTGTCCTTCATGAATCGGTATGAGAGAATACAAAAAATAATAATAATGTCCAAAATATTTATTATTACGCCATTTTTTCATGGCTTCATCTAATACTACATCAACCTTCAATCTCCAAAGAACAAGAGTACTACTCCAATAACTAGCCATGATAAAAGACTCGACGAGTCAAAAGAGTTTAGCAAACACTCCTCATAAGAAGCTCTACACTCCACAATAATCCTTCATTTAAAACACAACATACCATAGGTAGTTGATAACCATGATTTGCTATAAGAAGTAACCATGATTTGCTACAACAAGCCAAATTACGACAACATAAACTATTAAAAGAAAACATATCTAGAATCCTCTATTTATCCTTCAAGTCTTCTCCTCTTTTCTCTCCAATGCGCCCAACTTCATGTCTCGAAGAATTTGAGTCCTACATTACACAATTTAGCATCAATTAAAAATGAAGTGCTGAGATGCATCCAGATTGGACTGCTATGTGCTCAGGAACTTCCAGATAATAGACCTCTAATATCACAAGTAGTTCTCATGTTCAATAGTCCATCGATGGATATTCCAGTTCCCTTGAAACCTGCACATTATGCTTCGATGAGAGAAGGGAGTTCGGTGAATGAGGATCCGATTTCTGAACTTCAACCTAGGTAGATACTGCCCATACTATCAAGAATTCAAAGCTTGATATTTCTAACTGTTCGTGGTCAAATTTGATCTAAGTAATGAATAATCAAGAGAGTTTTTGTTTCCCTGATCGTTTGGTGTTTGGTCAAATAAGGAAGGTTAACTGATATTTCTAAAGTATGGGCTCGGGGTTTGCGAAGTTTACTGTGTTTGGTCTTTTAGCCGATGACATTATAGGCATGTCTACTTTCCTTTCATGGAAGATGCAAATTTAAAATGCTACTCAAAATAGGTACAAGGGTAATTATTAGGATTATTAAGACCATCATTAGAATGCATGAAATAATAAAAAGAAATAAGTAGATGTCATCAGAAAGAAACACTGGAAAATAAAACCATGCCAACTCATCATGTATTTGTAGCTCCAAGATAAATTTGAATTAACACAATAAAATGAAAATAAAAACTGGATGGACGCAATAGACCAAAATCATCATGTAACACAGTTCACACCAGAAAGAACTTGCTTCTTAAATGACAGGAAAGAGGATACCGAAATCATGCCAACTCATCTTATCCAAACGAGAAAACAACATTGTAAGAAAGGCGACTTCCCTCTAGTCCCTAAATGTTTTAAAAAAATGTACAATATTCCTAGCTTTTCAGACCCGTTAGAAGAGGTGCGACTGATGTTCAGACCCGTTAGAAGAAATGTCCTAGCTTTTCGATAGCTCGCAGCCAAGAGGAAATATATCTGCAGGTACTCAGTAAAGAAATAGGTTTGTGCCTGTAGCTTGATACTGATCTTTGTTATTGCCTGTTTCTGTTTGCTTTTTACTGAGCCATTAGTTTTCTACAAAATGCAAAGTAGTAACAACGCATTGACTACTTTTGTATAATTATACATTCTGCTATGAGTGCCAATGCCTGGTTCTCCAGGACTGGAAATTATACATGTAAATGGGTTTAAATTTGTAGTATTAGTGCTTTTTTAAGGAGGTCTACTCTACATTGTGCTTACATCTGAAAGTTGTATTTTCCCCCATCACAGGTACATAGAGTGGTTACAGAATAATGGATAGATTTATGTCATGTTCAGTGCACATGAGCAACACACTGGCAGAAATGACACTACAGTCTTGGATCATTCTGAAGAGGTTTATGATATTGATTGCCGCTATCACAATATAGGCGCTTTCTTCCCACTACCATAATGAGTATATTTTGGATGAGTATGTAAAAAACTCAAAGATGATGCTAGCATAACGAGTAGTTGGAGTTCAATGCAAATCTTCTAAGACGAAAGCCTGTAATTTACTGTCATAAATGCAGAAGACTGGGTTCAGAATTTTCTTTTTCTTTTTTGCAGTTGTTCTATCTCTGGCAACACTCTTCTAAGAGATGCATATAACAGGAATGAGCTTGATTGAAAGAGAGGGAGATGAATCCATTCCTTGGGGGGAGGGGGGAATACGAGAGAAAGAGGAGGATTATGAATATTAACAGTACATAGGTTCTTTAGATTACATGAGTAGACATGAGTTCACTATATGATCCCAGGTCTAAAACATGAGGAGATTGAAAGAGAGGTTAGCCGAAAAACCTCCATCAAGAAAAGCTAGTGCTTCCAGGGACAACATTAAGACTGGACCCTCATCTCTGAACTAGTGATTAAGCAGAACATGTGCATGGAACCAATCATATAAAATGTCATCATTGAAAAAAAAACCAAGGTAATAACAGCAATCTGCTGAAAGCCAAGCATGCATCAAATTAAACAAACCAAGGGCAAACTATTGACTACCAGCCTAATATCACCCTTCCAGTAATCAATCCTGGTGACACAAGCTAATTGGAATTCAATATTACTTGCACAAGCACACCCACACAAGCTAACTGGAGTATTTATAGCAGCTTGTAACATTTTATTTGAATGAAATAAGTATCATTCACCAACAACCAAGAAGCAGTACTAGTCTTTTTACAATCATTACCAAATTCATACTTCGACTGAACCAAAGCTAATTCATACTTTGACTGACAGAATACGAATTAAACTAAGAAATGGTTGATGCAGGCCTTTATCATGATCGTCACCGTTAATAGATTTACATAAATTCCAACTGCAATATATGACTACTTAAAAAAAAGAAAAACACCACATTTTTTACAGTCATTACCAAAGCTAATTCACACAGTGATTTGCTACAGTCACCGCATATTCTCCATGGTATTGGTAGCCATATAACTTGTTGTTTACAGTTAATAAATTTACATAAATCATGGTTCCGATAATTTATGAGATAACGTAACTGCAGCGTAAGTTATTTTTTTTCATGCTTTAACAACAATCAAGCCTACTCAGACATTCTATCAAACAACACCAGCACAGGTTTGAGCTAAATGATACCCACATCGTCAGATCCCCAAAAAAACAACCAAAAAATTTTTAAAAATTAAAAAATAGCAAAAATTGAAGTCATACCTTGAATTCCAATTAGAAACTGTAGAAGTTTGAGGAGAGCAACCGAAAGAGAGGAGAAAACAAGCTACAACAGAGAAAAGCAAACTCAGATCAGATCTAGGGTTTCAAAATACGAAGAGAGATCCCTGTGTTGAGACGAGAGAGGAGAAGGGGAGAGAGGAGAAGGGGAGAGAGGAGAGAGGGGAGATACCTGCGCTGAGAATTCGAGATCGCCACTGAGAAACGAGAGAGAGAGGAGTCGAGATCGAGGGAGGAGTCGTCGTCCGGATCTGGATTTGGTAAATCCGAAGGGTGAGGGTGGAATTTCAAATCGGGTATTTGGGCTTTGAAAATCACCACTTTAAAATCATTTGATTTAAAATCTCAGTCTAATTTGAGGCCCAAACAAGAGATTTGAATTTGAAATACCCTGGATTTTAAATCCAGGGCCCAAATCCAAGTTCCCAAACGCAGCCTACAAAAATTTGAGGATAACAATGATTGATTCTTCTAATCCGAAATTTATCCCTTAAACAGCCTTATCCTAAGAAGATCAGCAAGTTCCCATAGAGTTTTGCACATTAAACTAAACTCTCAAACTCAATAACCAACCTTATTCTCATGGGGAAGAACTGGATGATAAAAATGATGTAGAAACAAGAAAAATTTAAGGCTAGTTCTTCGTCAAGTTGGAGGACAAAAAAATACAGGTATAGTTACAACATATTCAACATCGTACTCCGCAAAATAATTCAATGGCGAGAAAGTGAGTACAATTCAGAAACCCACTTTGATCTGTGCTTCTTAGTCCCATCTGTAGCAATTACTTAATTACTTATGCTCATAATTTATGCAGGTACAAAGTTTAAACTAACAAAATGGCATGTCAGTACCTTAACGAAAACTCAACACCTCATTTATCAATTTTTAATAAATCATAAGTTTTGCTCGCTTACATTTACCAGATTCAATTATAAAGAATGCATATCATTTACTCGTATCTTTTAAGCTCTAGACAGATGACTAGCCATCCAAAAATCCTACTCCAGGTCATTCAGTCATCTGTCGCAATGTGCTCACGGTTTTGATTGAATCAGCATGATTTAGGAGCCAACAGAACACAAATCAAATTATAGTCATAGGTTGAGCACTTTCCTTTAGTTTGAATCTATGCCATATAGTATTTAGCTTTAGTAATACACATTTTCAAACTTCAGGCTTACAACTAGTTCCTTTCTCTTAAAAATCTACGTAACAAGTACCCAAATTTAACTGAAAAATAGAAAGTTAGTACCTCTACATGTAATAAACAAGAACCCAATAAAACAACAGAAAGAGTATGGAATAAATATACAGAAATTTTACTGCAGGATTTGTTGACCATAATCATAATAAGTAATAAATGAAGATTATTTTTAAGTTGCACACCTTATAGGCTGGCAGTTCGCCGCCTCCCTGTACAAAGACAACAAGAAGCATGGATAAAATTTTATGTAAATAAATATAAAATAAATAACTTGTGGTAATATAAGAATCTTTTGTAACACAAATAAAAAAGATCAAGCCACTGAAGCATATGAAACCAACATTTACTGGGTTCATGACATGGAACTTTGAACAAGCAGATAAGAAGGGGCCAGGCTTAATTCTATCAATATTTGGGACCTTAGTGGAATTGGAAAATCCATGAACTATTTATTTATGTGCCTGTGGCAAGATAGGGATGTAAATAGACATTTGAATTGATGTAAAGCTAAAATTTCGTCATTTTCAAAAGATAGGAGGAGAACTACTTCAATAACAAAGACATTCACAATTCTAATTAAATTAAATAATCACACCCACCAAACTTTGCAACCATTTTTGTTCGCCTCAAAACTGGCAACGTAAGTGTATCACGAGAAGATGTCTTGACACTTACATGTTATGTTCATCACTTACCATTGGTAGACAATGTCAACAAGTGTTTAAGAGTAACACCGTATGTGATACATATTGGGTGGTGACACGAATTCGTGCACACAATTCTGCACTTAACCTTTTGGATTCAAGAGGTGGGTTTCTCTGGTACGGAAGTTTTGTACATGATACATTGTAAATTTTTTTGGGCTAAATTATCAAATTGGCATTTTGGCAGGGCAGGAGTCTATTCAAACTATGGTAATTGTTCTTTCACAAGTGATATTATGGTATTAATATTGAGACTAATACCAATCTAGTTATTTTTCCTATATAAAATAATATCAAATTGGTATCAAATATCGATATTAATACCGTAACGTTTTCAGTGAAAGGGGGAAAAAACCATATTGTAAGCATGGTCCTAGTTTTTTTTGGGTGCACTTATCATTTTTTGAAGTGTATAGTAAAAAACTAGAAACTAAAAAAACTAATTATGCATTTCAATATTGTTTGCTACAAAACATTTCAATTCTTCACTTTCAAAATTCCGTTATCTTCTCTTTTCATCCATTTGTTTTCTTCCATCAAGATTTTCAATGCTATGATGTGGTTGTCAATGGTCACTCGACGAAGAAATTTTCAATATAGACTCACTACCACATTTTATCACAAAAACCGATCTCTTTTTTATTAGCGAAATCAACCCAGTTATTGCCACGTCAGCTTCGTGGCCAGAAACTGAGTTGATTTCTAAAAAAACGCGTTGCTTAATTAGTCGGGTTTGACAACCCCGACTAATTAGTATGTGCTTGAGACCTCGATTCAAGTCTCTGCAAAATATTGGCGAGGTTGCCAAACCCAACTAAAATTGACGGGTTTGGCAACCCCGATAATTTTTTCCGTGCCGAATTGGTCGTGGTTGGCCAATTTCGAGCTCCAATTGGCCGGTCCCCAAATAGTAGGGGTTGACAACCCCAACTATTTAGCGGCGACTTTTGAAATTAGCCCCTAAATAGTCGGATTTGGCAAGCCCAACCATTTTTGTTGGCAACCCCTTAGAGTTGTTTCTAATTAGTCGGGGTTGTCAACCCCGACTAATTAGAAGTTTATTTTTTTTAAAACGACCTAATTTCTGGCCATGATGCTGACGTGGCCAGAAACTAGGTCGATTTCACTAAATAAAAGTGAAATGGGTCGAATTTTGGGAATAAATTAGGGATGGGGCTGTTTTGAATATTTCTTCATCACTCGACCAATTGTGTATACTTTGGTTGAGGGGATCACGTCTTGTTAGCGGTGCAGCGATTTTGGCATACCAATCCGTGTACAGGAGTGAATTAGTACGTAGATGTATAGCATTGCTAACTGCTAGAACTGTATGACATCCTGGGAATTTCGCAACTATGGCTCAACCTGAACTTCCTTCCAACGTAAGTAGAGGTATAGTTCAGGAGGCTATAGAAAACAATTTATACCTTCTCGTAAAACATTATATAGTAGAGAATTTTAATTGTTAAAATTTAAGGTTATTTTGACATTCCTCCCTCAAATCATCAATATTTTGATATTACTCCCTCAAATCATCAATATTTTGACATTACTCTCTAAAATCATCATAATAGCTATTTCCTCCCCCAAATCACATAAGTCAGTTGAACTAGTTCCCAGTTAGCATAACCATCCAAAGGCTTTAACTAGGGTTGGGTTAGAAGTAACCATCCAAATCAGCATCGGGTTTTGCATATCAACCACCAATGTGCTGAACAGTGAACAATTACCAAAAAGACCTTTGCCCCGACATCATGAGACCAGGCCAAAATTTCATTGACAGGAAGAACAGAACTCAAGGGGGGGAAATCAAAGTGATTTGTAAATGATATCTTCTTCATGTTTGCTTATTCTATGTCTAAAAAAAAGCAATAGAAAAACATAGCCATCTGATTGTTACGACCAAGAAAATCTGAAGGGTTATCAGATAACAATGAACCAACAATAAACCTTACTACATATAACAGATGCATAAATTTTCATTATCCAATTTTGAAACCAAATTCCAGAGGATAATATTAAAAAACCAAAGTACTTACCATGCAGTCACTGTTAGTTTAGCTTGTTTCCGCCAAAGCACTAAATCGACACATATTCCAGCTAAGTCACTCCCTCCTAATACAATATGTATCAACAAGATTCAAATGGGAACAATAATAAATACATCTCCAAATCCATGACAATACTTCTTCACCTGTCAAATCACCCAAATGCATGAACACAATATGTAGATTCATCAAGAACAAATCCACTCTTGATATATGTATCTCGCATTTTGTAGCATTCTCTTCAGCATTCTCAACCCCTTCTCTCTCAAGACCATTAAAAAAACAATTGATCTAAAACTGCAAGTGATTTGCTAGAAGAAAGCATGGGATATAAAGTTTAGATATGTTAATCTGGAAAAATAAATCAGAAACCAAGCAATAATAAATAAAAATCACCAAATTCATAAATTAGTGACAACAACCCCAAAAAAAAGCTAAAAAATGAATGTCTGAACAGTAAACAAATAGGTTGACTGAATAAGAGATGAATGAAATTTTAACATACAAGCCAAGTAGATTTTAGAGGAAAAAGATGGATATCTTACTAAGAACTCTAGGGTTGATGAAACCAAGAGGGAATTCTTCCCGCTTCATAAGAAACAGACATGAGTTATGGGTAACTATTTGTTAGAAAGTGGAATCAAAACAGGGATATGCTTATGAGAGGATTGTCATATATATATAGAGATTAATGGGTATCCTTGTCATAAGAGAAGATTTTCCTCCTTGTCGTCTATGTGGCACAATCTCCACCATCCTCATAAAGTAGGCACAAATCCCCACCAACTCACACACTCTCTCCTATTTTATGAGGATGGTGGGGATTGTGCCACATAGGTGTCAAGGAGGAAATCTCCTCCTATGTTATGTATAGATACATATACATACATATATATATATATATATATATATATATATATATATATATATATATATATGGAGAGAGAGAGAAACTTATGTCAACTTAAGTGGACGTCCACTAAGTTTCTTAGTCATTGATGATCACTTGATTGACATACATTATGGATGATCCGCTCCGTTGAACTTGATCTACATATTCTAAAATCCCAACACACTAAATTTGGGGTGAACCCGTCGTGGTTTGACCCTTCATCCACTCGTATCAATTTTAACGGTTTCGAATGAATAGAACTTTTTTACATGGCTCGACGGAGGGTCAAACCACGATGGGTTCACCCCAAATTTGGTGTGTTAGGGTTTTAGAGTATGTAGATCAAGTTCAACGGAACAGATCATCCATAATGTATGTCAATCAAGTGATCATCAATGACTAAGAAACTTAGTGGACGTTCCACAATGGTTTAGTTCAAAGAAGATGTTATTGTGGGTTAATTTGCAGAATATGGATGTGTAAGTAAGGACACAATAAGGGCTTGGAATTTTATAGATGCCCGAGATACAAGGGACCTAATTGTAAGGGTTGTAACTTCTTCGAATGGGTGGGTGATACCAAGAACATCACAAAAAGGCTGGAAAAGCTAGTAAAAAATGAGAGTTAAACTGCATCTTGCTGAATATATTCAATTCTCTGCAACCTTGTTGCATGATGAAGATAACTCTGGTAACAAAGAACTAAGTATGAGAACCAGAGAAGCAATTGGCTAACAACAATATATTACATGCCACCTTGAAAGCTCTTCTCCTGTTCATATTATTGCCTTTAAAAGTTTTGAAAGTAGAAAAATGTTGATAGGATCCTTGAACTGGATATTTGGTGGAAATTGATGAGGTAAGAAGATGTAGTAGAAATTTGGGACTTAAAAGATACTTCTACCTAATTTCATCTAAATATCTGGTCATTAAGAGTTATTTCTCAAGGTGCTAGCCAGATTGATAAATATTGATACATGGATGAGGCACCACCAAGGGAAAAAGATTGGCTTTTGGAATGTACTATGTTGAGATTGTTGTGAATTAAAAACAAGTGCATTTTGGCAAAGGGACATCGAAAAGGAAATAGAGAGTTATGCTAATTTGATGGCTTCGACAGAGGTTTTGAAGTGCACATATTCGACGTTGAACAGGGAGGTAAGCCAGATATAACAATTTCAAGTAATATGGGTCCTACAAAACAAAAGAATCCATTTGAGCAGTTACGAAGGCATCAAGAATGCCTGTTGGCTTGACCACACTCTATGTGAAAGAGGAAATTTTCTTGCCAGCCGATGCCCTTGGTTGCGCACAGGTTCGCTTCGCTGCTGGATGCACGTGCACTACTGTGCCAGTTAATTTGCCGCTCAGAGAGGAGCTATCAGTCAATCCAGACCGCTGAGCTCACTCTGGCCTTGCAGGGCGGGCCAGAGTGGGTGCGAGCTGTACCTGCCATAGCTTATGGCTAGAGCAATGGGAGGGGGGCCCAGCAGAGAGAACAGTAAGGATAACGAGCGCTCCGCCCACCAAGCGAGCGGCAGAAGCAGCAGGCACGTGCTTGGTAGGCCAACAGAATACTTCAGTTTTGGCAAGTACGAGAATACAACAGGATAAAGAAAAGCTCGGTAATGATGATCATATATGAACCCTAACCCCCACTAAATGAATCTCAGAGGGAAGCGGATGGACAGATCAATATTTCAGAAAGCCTTGTAGAAGGAGAAGGAAAAAGAAGTCCAGGAGAAAGAGAGCATGCATTGAGGAAATAGCATCAAAATTCAGAAATCATGGAGTTTATTGGTGAGACCAATTTGAATAAGAGAAGAAAATGCTACTAGTGTATCAAAGAATAGGATCACAACTTGGAATATGCACATCTCAATTACCATAAAAAGATATACACGTGTCTCTTTCCAACTCATAATTTGGAAGAAATTAGATAGTAAAGGTGCCAACATGAAGAATATCAGTATACTAATGAAATGCACTGAACCTGAACACCTTTAGGAAAGCGAAAATAGGTACCTCACTCTCCTCATAGCTACTTGCTCCCAAACGGTACTTGAAAAGAATCTGTTAAGCAAGATAGAGATATCAGCTTGGAAATTGCAAGAGGGGGAACCAAATAACAAACAGGTGAGGAAAATTGGACATAATGGGTCAAGACAACTGATCTAGATATCATATATAAATCAGACAAATAGACTACTGCAGAAGCATCTTCAAGAAGAATGATTAGCATCAGAAACCACAGATGCATGAAAGACCTCTGTTTAAGAACATAAGAAATCTAGACAGGACAAAAAATAGTAAGATATAACTTCCAATAACAAGTCTATCTCATCCATAAACATGGAGTTTATTCCAATCTTTGTGGTCGCTGATGGATTCTGTGGGAGACTGGACAAAGTTCCAAAGTTATTTGCCAATTGATGACTATTATGTGAGGAGTATCTTGTATGTAACGACCTTTCATATTCATATGTGATTATGTGGCACTCGTTTAGAAAAGAACATTGTTTTAAAAAGCCTCCGCCTAGTCCGCTTAGGCGTACGCCTAGGCCTAGGCGGTACCTAGGCCGCCTAACTAGCGCCTAGCGCCTAAGCGGTACCTAGGCTACCCACCTAGGTTTGGGAGTGTTTAGGGAAGCATTGTCTGCTTACGTGGAATGCACCATTTAGGCATTGATCATGATTTTCTATGTTACAGCCTCCACATCCTCCAACTTCCTCCAAACTCCTTTAACCTTCAAATACGAACACCTCAACTATCCCCTCTGGCCTTTAGCAAATCCTCCTCGACCGCCACTTAAATGAAGCAAGAAATCTGCCTAAACATCACTCCGGCACCTAAGCCTTCTATAATATTGATATTTACTGTCAATTATTATAATTAAAAATAAAAAAGAAAACCTCTAGGCTCTCCAATGCCTAGGCCTCCTAGCGCTTTCTATAACATTGTTAGTTATTAGTTTGGCTATTTAGTATTTAACTATGCATGGTTTATTGTGGATCTAAGATTATTATTATCTTTTGTAAATTTATATGAATTTAATACATATTTTTATTAATTATTATAATTAAATAATTTTAAAAATAACCAAATGACTAGGCGCCACCTAGGCGTTTAGGCTCTAGGCGCTAGCTGAAACGCCTAGTCCGCCTAGCGCCTTCTGTAACATTGGAAAAGAACCATAGTAAAAGCTTCCTTGTTCACGTATTCAAGTAGGAAGTATGAACAGCCTCATTAAAGTCTTCATCTAAGGAACAATAATGGATATGCAACTGACCTGGACGCTTGAAATTCTATAGGAGATGCTGACAAGAAAGAAACATAGTTTTAGTTTGTAAAGAAGAAATAAAGGTCTCATTTTTTATTCCCTTGCATAGTTTCATTTCATCATCTTCTGTATTTTAGAAATTTTTATATCTTCCTGTCAGGTTAATTTAATCTTTGGATCAGTTCCTTTGTACTGATGTTTGTTATGGTCCCCGGTAGTGGCGGATCTAGGATTCCTAGAAAGTGGAGTAACCATAATTAAGATTATAAACTCTATTATTTGGTCTAAATGGAGAGTATTTGAGGCATCAAGCTAGCAAAAAATAGACTCATCATTGAGAGGGTAAAATCAATTATAACATCCATATTCAAAATGTAGATGACAAACTCCAATAATTTTTAGTTGTCTCAAAAGTTTGTCAGAAACAGATCTTGAAACACAAAATTTTTGAATGCCAATGTCGTAACAGTTTTGATCCCCTCAATGATCAATCTAATTATGGCCAGTTTGATGCTTCAATATCCTATACATTTTTACTAATTTTTTATTTAGACCAAATTCATAGACGATTCCTTAGCAAAGTGGTATCACTTGACACCACTATGCTAAGGGTAGATTCGCCTCTGGTTCCCAGTCTGTTTACCTATTTCATGTTTTTTAATGAGAAAAAAACTATATATTCTACAAGTTTAAGCACAAATATAAGTCTAGTGCTTAAATCATGATATTTTGGAAATATTTGATTATTTTGAGAAATTATAAGGTTTTGCTTTTAATTTAATAATTTAATAATATTCATCTCATTACAATTGTTGCATAGTTGTTCATCGCCAATTTGGCTACTACATGTGCTCTGGAAGCGGCATTCATCCTTCTAAGTCATTGCTACAATATTGGTACGAAGTCCTTTAAATTTTATCTAGTTTTTCCTCCCTCTATCTGGAAATTTCATATTTAGTATATTTACTTACTGTATATACACATAATCCATATCATTTCAACTTGTCATAATGTTGCACATTGTCCTTAATCATTTGATTCATCTTGTAATCCATCTCATTCTTTATGGTTAGATTTATTATCACACATGGCCATGAAAGAGAGCACCAATCCCAGGACACGCCCACCAATACCAAACCTCATCACTACCTCTACTAAATGAAATTGAGAAAGTTATGAACCTCAGTAAAGCACAAAAGGATAATCAAGTCAAGTAATGGAGGAAATTCAACAAGCATAGCAGAACACTGAAACCAATGCAAGGAAGTCATATCATGTTCTGTGACGTTAAGAATTGTCTATCATGTCATCTTTTGACTCAAAAATGTTGAAACAACAGCTAGCAAACACTCCATAAATGTTGAAGTAGCATGTATGAACTTCCATTATCGCCAATATTATGCCCGCTATTATGCCCCTTTTTGTTAAAACCTCTTAGCTTGTGACTCATTTCCAACATATAAGTCCACAAGTCCAGAATCCTCCTCTTTGACACCTATGATCATACCTGCCTAGAATGAGATAGGGTTGAAGGACTCATTGTAGGCATTCCTCCCTACTAAACGACACAGATCAAACCCTATCTTCCCTATTTTTATACTGATGATGCAACCCCCACCCCCAACCGCCCCCACCCCTCCCCACAACTGGCTTTCTTAGTCCATTTTTCATTCCCTTCTTCCATTTAGATTGTCACTTAAATGCGTAATTGTAAAGAGTGTGGAAAGAAACATTGATTACACATTGCAAGTTCTCACAGATCCTTAAAATACTTCGAATAGATTCCAACATTATGATTCATCGTGGCAAAGAGAGAGTTACGAGCAACGTAAAGGGAAGTGAATTCTTCTTCAAACTTCACCAAGATTAGTGATGTTTACCTATCTCCCACAAGCAATCTGTTCACACCCTTCTAATATTGTTTTGAGCATTTATGAATAGGTTACCTTCCCATTTCAAAAATGTTTTTAACCATTTAAGAAGCAGATAAAAAATGAGTAAAATTTATGACTCTTTATCTGTAAGAATATCAACAGTCTGATGTACTTCTTGTCCCATATAATGACTATGATATATGAGCAGGAGAGTTAACAGCTAAAAGCATTATAGTACAAGATGTGTTAAATGACTAATCAAATTATTGATGTAGCATCACAACACTCATCTAACCCCAATTCAGGCTCAAAACTATGTTAGCTGGATGAAATACTAACTACATCATTCTTCCAAAAAACAGAAAAGATAGTGACCGGAGAGCACTAATCCATAACATTCTTGTCAATATCTAACCACAAATTTGTCATTGCAGTATGATAAACAAGCATTTCAACTCTAGAAGTAAAATCGAGATTGTACTGGAAAACTTGCATCGTTTCAGCAGACCTGAAGTTACTGGAGTAGGCAAACGTGCTTGGCGTTGAATCTTCCCAAGATCTAGGATTTCAGATTTGGCTACCTCTGACTCCCAAGTCTTTCTCGTTGCAAATGCATCCTCTTCAGCTTCAACATTTGCATATGAGGAAAAGCCCATAACAAAGAAGTGCTCAAATAATGACACGGGGTTCTTATGTTGTTTATGAACCTGCACAGAAGTGACAACCCAGTTACGACAACCCAGTTACTATATAATCAATATTATTGTATTTGGTCAAAAAGAATATTCAGAAGGCCTCACACCCATATGGCATGAGAATCACCTGATGTAATTTCATAGTAAACACTTGAAAAAAAAAATACCGATGAGTGGAATGAAGAATCCTCTGTGAAGTGTTTAGAAGATATCTGCTATAAACTAAACTAAGTGATCTCACCCACAGTTTCATACTTGCAAAGGAAATATCTAAGTTTCGTAAGCTATTAATGAACAATTTATCAACAGCATCCCCTATGATGTGTTTACAAGAATGCTACAAGCCAAACAATCTTTGTCCTAATCTCATAAATTCTTAAAGGAATTGATAAGTCCCAAAAGTTGACAGTCAATCACCTATCAACCTTGAAACTCTACTGCAATCAAAAGGGTGACACTATGATTGCAGTGTTCAACCAGAACTAGACTAGTGCGCAAACAACCCACATTGACATCAGACTGCTGAAGCAAGGTTGTATATTTAGGGTCCATTTAGTCCCACATTAACTACATGAGGAGTCAAATTTGGATTGGGATTTCGGTTTCTCCCCATCAACAACCAATATAAATTTAACATTCTAATATGAAAACAAACATAGAGAACATCTTAATTAAAAAAATTCAAACTTTTCAAGAAAATGAAAATGAAACCCAATGAACTAAAGAACAGAACCTCAGCTTGTGATTGGATCTGATACCACTGTCGCTTCTGAGGTGCCCCATCACGATGAGCACCTCAGCAATTCTGCCGCCACTTCCGCCATTGCCGGACAATAGTGCTTGCCATCATCGTCCATACATGTTCCAGCTAAGCCACTCCCTCCGAATACAATATGTATCAACAAGATTCAAATGGGAAGAGTAATAAATACATCTCCTAATCCATGACAATGCTTCTTTCCCTGTCAAATCACGCAAATGCATGAACACAGTATGTAGAATCATCAAGAACAAATCCACTCTTGATATATGCATCTTGCATTTTCATAGAAGCAATCTCTTCAGCATTCTCAACCCCTTTTCTCTCAAGACCACGAACTAGCGCCCGATAAGTAGCATTATTAGGTAAAATGCCGTCATGCTTCATCGCGATTAGCAATTGGCATGCTTCATTAACATCTCCAACATTACAAAATCCTTGTATGAGAGTGTTGTACAAGATCAAGTCAGACTTCAATCCCAAACCCAACATTTTGCGAAATAGAAAATTGGCATCTTGCATGCGTTTCTTTGTGCAAAAACCATGTAGAAGAGCACTACAAGTAACAATGTCAGGTTTGGTTTTGTTCTTAGTCATGTTGCACCATATAAGATAGGCTTCAGCTAAGTTCCCCTCTTTGGAATAACTATGAATTAAGCTCGTTACTGTAATCTTGTCAGGGGAAAACCCCCTTCTAACTAGTTCATCATAAATTCCTCTACAATCACTCATATAGCCTCTCTTAACAAGGCCATGCATGATAGTGTTATATGTCACAATATCGGGAGAAACACCATCCTGGGTCATCATATACTTAAGCTCATAAGCTCGGTGCATAAAGCCCTTCTTACTGTATCCATTGATTAACACATTGTACACAAATGCATCAGGTTGCAACCCATCTCTCTTCAGTGCATTAAAAACACATTCTGCCCCCGCAAGATCTTCGATTTTGCAACAGGCTTCAATCAACACTGTATAAGTTAAAAGAGTAGGTCTAATCCCTCTTTTCATCATTTGAGCGAAAACCTTCATAACTATACCTATTTGACATAATTTACAGTGACCATCCATTATGGTAGTGTAATTAAAAGAATCAGGATGAATACCTAAATCAAACATCTCCATGAATATCTCATTGGCTTCCTCCATATTCCCGCTCCTGCACAGCGTCAAAATGAAGCTATTATACGTAAAAACATCAGGAACTCGACCGGGAAGGCCCAATAGACTTTTGGCCTCTACCAACTTCCCATCCTTACAGTACCCGTCGATGATCGAAGAGACCAAAATCGTATCAAGCGAATTGCCCATCTGAATTAATTTATATAACAAAGATGTCGCCTCTTTCAAGAAACCCCTCTTGCACAAAGCATCAATGACCATCGTATAAGCAATAACATCTGCACACCCAACACAGTTCTTCATCCCAAAAAGCAGTTTACAAGCACTCTCAAAATCGCCATGACTACAAAACTCCTGAATAAATACGCTCAAACACGACGACACCTTAGATTGATCTTCCCACTCGGGCATTTCCACAAACACCTGCCACGCACATTCCATCCTCTTCCTTTTCAGCAAAACCATAAGAAGAGAATTATAAACCTGGATACTCGGGTGAAAACCCAACTTCCCGATTTTTCTCATCGTCTCAATAACCGAATCAATCATGCCCAAATCAAGATAACACTGAACAAGCATACTGTAGACGACCCCCAACCCATCCCTGCTCCTGCTCGTCTCCTTCAACTTCTCCAGCACTAAACCCCTCCATTCATCATTAGCGGCAATTTCTTTCATAAATCTCATCGCTACATGGTTCATGTTGCCGGAGACGGCGATGTGGATCACTGTGCAGGTGACGAGGAGGCCGTGCTTGGCCCCGGAGACGCGCTGAGAGTGCGAGAAGAAGTACGAAGGGGAGGCGTCGGAGGTGAGTCGAAGAGGTGGTGAGGATGAGGAGAGACTCTGGCTGAGTGGCGCCTGGGATGTCGGTTTCTCAAATGGAGATTTTCGGTGTGATGGATTTGAAAGAGCCATAGGGCCGATCGGAAGAAGTAGAAGGCTCTTGGGTTTGGATGGAGAAACAGAGAGGCGGCGGAGGGAATAACGGGGCATGGTGAGGAAAGAGGAGGATGGAGGGAAAGCGGTGGCTGCCGAACATGGAACGTGTCGGATCCTACAATTCCCGCAGAAATCCCGCCATCAAATGATTTTTCTAAATACGTACCTAAGTTTTTAGAGTAGACCATGATACAAAATGATGGGGAAAAAAATCTAAGGACACCCGCAAGTGCTAGACAGTCGCGGATGTTCAACCAGGGTTAGGTTTGGAATTGGAGCATGTAGCATCTTTTTCGGGCGAGTGGCGTGAAGTCAAGCTGAGTTGGTAAGCTGTCTATAAGCAGTGCTTCAATGTCACGCGTTTGACCTTCTTGGACAGCACTCACAAGAATTTAATTTCTTAAAATATCGAAGATCATGCGTTGGGGGTGCTCCTTAGCCACGGCCGGGAGTATGATATCCATGGTTCGAATGATCGTGGGGAAGTTCCCTTGCAAAATATAACATACATTATTTTCTATAAATTGGTGCTTGCGGTTTTTCTTGTGAAAAGACCCTCTCTAGGAGCACCCACTTGTGAATAGACCCCTTATGGTTCTCTTTATGCAAATAGACCTCCTATGTGATTTTTTTAACTCTTCCCCCTATAGGTATATTGGTGAGGATAGATCATCAATTGCTAATTTATTTTGTTCTTTAAAGGAGTTGAAAAAGTTCACAAGGGGTGTATCCGCACATTGGCTAGTACTACAAGAAGTTCATTCGTCGTAAATTCAACTACTTGTTGTCTATTGGCAGTTTGGTGATACTCTTGTGCACAATTAACACTTTTCGATATAAGTCCTTTAAGTCTTTAAGATTTTGAAGTTAGTTCCCCAAATCATTGAAAGTGATTTTAAGTCCCTTAAGTCATATCAGTTAATTTAAATTAAACCATTTGTTGATATTTCAAATTTGTTCCATATGAACTTAGTATAAAAGGCCCTTTTCTATCAGCTCTAAATCACTACGGGCTTGTTTGGATTGAGGGGAATAAGGGTGAATGGAAGTTGGGGGAATCATTCACCTTATTTAGGAACATTTAGGAGGTGAAGTTATTCACCCTAGTTCCCCTTGGTTCACCCCTAATAGTATAAAATTTGTTACCCCCCAAATTGGGCTGTAACCAAGGGGAAGGGAACTCCCTTCCCTTCCCTTTCATTCTCTCACCTAGTTTTCCTTAACTTCCCTTAACCTCATTGAAATCCAAACACACCTTACAATTAAACTACAATATCAATACCTTCAATATCAGCATGATCAAAATATTTTACATATTATACCATTATAAATAAATGATGCATTGTGCAACTAAGGCTTGATTTGGGAGGAAGGGAGGCAGAGTAAGGTAAGAGACAAAATTAAAAATCTTCTTTGGTAGAGAGTTTTTAAAGAGTAAGATAAAGTAGAGTAAAATAATGTGATGAGAGAGACCATGCAAAATGAATTTAAAAAATTATGTACCTCTCCTTACCTTATCTCCAACCAAACAAAAACCACAAAAGATATACACCTTCTTACATCTCATTGAGCCTTTTTTTACCTTAACCCTCATTGTACCTCCTATCAAGCCTAGCCTAAGAATGGAACAAATGTGTCCTTTATTACTTGTATGAGATTGTAATTATACCTCTAGCTGTAATTTGTAATATGCGCAAATTGTTTTTACAGAAAGGTGTTATTTCAGCTTGTCTTTTTTATCATATTATAACTATATTACAATTGTAATCTTTTAATAAAACAAACAATCTCTTCTTATCTCACTACGAATCATAACATACCCCTTATAAAATGCGAGTTTGAGAAAAAAAATTATTGTCAATATTACCCTTAACTCTTTTGGATTTTATATTCTAATCTTATCCTAATTAATAATATATATTCAAATAATTTAAAGGTAAAATCTTTAATCAAATTTTAACATGAAAAGAGATCAAGTAGTGAAACTAATCATCTATCATATTAGAATATGACACGTGTCTAACTAACTCTATCTTCCTAAGAATTCTCATTAAGTTAAAACTATTCATATCCACAATTAAAAAATTCTATCTAGAAAAAAGTAAAAAAAATCTAATAATCAAACTTGTTTTAATTCTAAACAAAATTTAACTATCCACAATTAAAAAAATCTTAAAAATTGTAACGTGCCCCTTCTTAATTATTTTAAAAAGTAAATATTATTAAACCTCTCATAACTTTAACTTGGGCATTATACTCCCAAAATATTTGTAATTCTCATTACATCCTTGGTAAGTTTTGATAATTTTAAAAAACACCTAAAACTTTTTTTTCGCACTTAACCCCTAAAATGTTGTTACTCAAAAAATTTTATATTAGCTAAAATTAACCATCAAGGATAGTGCATACCCCTAAAATCTTTCTTATTTGCAATTTAACCAATAAATATATAGACTACCCTAAAAATATAAAACTTATAAATAGCTACCTATAAATTTTGAAATTACAAATAATATGTAGAAAATTTTGAAAGCTATAAACAACCCCATTTAAATTCCTAAAAAATACAGAAAACCCACAGAAAAATTAGGATAAATCATTGAAAAAAATATAGCCCCCTAAAAAAATCTAAAGTTGCCAAAAACCCTTCAAAACATTAAAATTGAAAAAAAATACTCTTAAAATTATGAATGAACCACAAAAAACATAAATTACACACAAGCTTTTTAAAAAATCCATAAAATACAAACAAACCCTTTTAAATTTTAAAAACGACAAACAACACTTAAAAATTCAAAAATTCAAACAAACACACACAAAAATATGTAAATTACAAAAAATCCCACAAATAGTAAAATATGAAATGAGTCCTCCTACTATGATTCCTCCTACTGGGTCTACTCCTACCGAAGTTAATCCCGAATCCGGTGGCGACGAATCTGCACCAAGAGCTTCTAAAAGGCCAAGATCCGATGTGTGGAATTTTTACGAGAAGATCGACGTCACCAAGGATGAACACGGTAGGATCCTCATCCAGAAGGCTAAGTGTGCATTGTGCGGCAAGATTTTTCAAGCTCATCATAAGAGCGGCACCAACCACCTCAAACGCCATTTAGATAAACACAACAAAGGCCAGACTCCTCAAGGTGATATCCGACAATCTATGATTTCTCAATCCTCCTCTTCTGATAGTCTCGGTAGTTGGAACTATGACGCTGCCAGAGTCAGGAAATGCGTAATTAGGTTTATCATTCTTAAAAACCTTCCTTTTAAATTAGTAGAAGATGATGAATTTGAAGATATATTTAGAGATGGTTTTTATCCTGCATTTAAAAAAATTTCTCGTCAAACCTGTCAACGTGATATTTTAAAATATTATCAGGAGGAACAAGAAAAAATAATTTCTTATTTTAAAAATTTAAACTGTAAATTTTCTTTAACTTCTGATATTTGGACATCTAGAGCACAAACTGGATATTTATGTATCACAGCACACTGGATTGATGAAAATTGGCAAATGTTTAAAAGAGTTGTTTCTTTTATTGCAATAGAAGAGTCACATACTGGTGCTAATGTTGCAAATTTAATAATTGAAGAACTTATGAAATTAGAAATTTCAGAAAGAATATTTTCTCTTTCACTAGATAATGCAAGTAATAACAATGTAGCTGTTGATTTTATCAGATCATCTTTATCATTGCCATGTCATGGTGATCTTTTTCATATTAGGTGCATCTGTCATATTTTAAATTTAATTGTTCAAAGTGCATTTACTGAAATTAAACCCATGATAGAAAAGGTTAGAACAGTTGCTTACATGCATAGTGCTTCTGAACAAAGACTTAAAAGATGGAAACAATTTTGTAAAAGAAAAAATGTAAAGCCTAGACTAATTCCAAAAGATGTTGACCATAGGTGGAATTCCACATATGCAATGTTAAGTGTAGCAATAGAATATAAAGACATTATAACTGATTTTATAAACTATTATGCTTCTAGTTCTAGTTCTGGTAGCACTTATGGAATAACTGAAGATGAATGGACAGTTATATGTAATTTAAATGAAATGTTACAAGTTTTTTATGATGCTACCATGTTATTATCTGGCTGTTATTATCCAACCATTACTTTAGCTGCTTTACAAATTTTAAATATTCAAAAAATTTTTGATAAATATCGTTTGGATGCTACTTTTGGACCTATGGTTTTTGAAATGGAGAGTAAATTTAATAAGTATTTTAGGCCTATTCCTCATATTTTTGGTTTGGGGGTTCTTATTGATCCATGCTTGAAGGATATTGGCCTTCGAAGTTTGTTACAATCTTTGTATGGTAATCAGGTTATAGACTTAGATGATGGAACCACCATTACTACACTACTCATCATTTAGCTATTAGAAGTTATTTTCAAACCTTATATGATGAGTATGCAGCTAGACATGGTGTAACTACACAACAGTCTACAGCTTCGGTTTCTTCGAGCTCATCCCGAGCCAGAGGTAAAAGTGAATGGTAGCTGAGCTAACTGGTGGATCTGGACTTGGATCGTCATCATTGGAGGTTTCTGAAATAGATGAATATTTTTCTGCTTCTTTAGTTAGATGTCAAGGAAATGCTTTAGATATTTTGCAATGGTGGAAAGTATATGGATCAGTTTCATATCCTATACTTTCCACCATGGTTCGTGACTTACTAACAGTGCAGGTTTCGACGGTAGCTTCGGAATACGCCTTCAGCACAGCAGGTCGTTTGATTGATGATCATAGGACATGCTTGGATCCGTATACTGTACAAGCGGTGATGTGCTTACAAGATTGGTGGAGGTACGAGAAGCGAACGCAAGACATCGATCGGATGGCTAGAATTGAAGATAAATTTGAAGAATTTGGACTAGCAGATAGATATAAAGAATAGATTGTAGTTTTTATATCTTAGCTTAAAATTTGTAAAGAATTATTTTGGAAATAATTGCAAATGATAGTTATATAGGTGAGTAGGTGCCAACCTAGTTGGGATTTACTTATCTATTGTGTTGCGATTAATTCCAAAATAAAT